GGTTATCGCATATATATATATATATATATATTAAAAAATTTAATTGACTATAAGTCTATAAAGAATTATAATCAATTAAAAGTATTAATTAAGAAAGAAGAATAAAAATTATTAAATTAGATTTAAATTATGTTTTAACACAAACAATGATTTTTAAATCTAGCCCCAATCCTTAACATCTTATGGCTAGGTGATTAGGGTTGCCAAAACGACTCTTTGTTTGTGAACAGCTTTTGTTCGGCTCTCTAAGCAAACGAGCCGAACACGAGGTGAGCCTGGGCTCACTCACGTTCAGCTCGCTTACACCCATAATATACAGCAACAACATCACCTAACCCCACGTTAATCCAAAATTTTACTCAAATGAAGCATATTAAGATTGATTTTCCTTTGTTTGCGACAAAGTGCAACATAACCATTTATTTGCATGTCTCCCATTTCCGCTCCAATGACCACTGGTTGGTGCTCCAACCAAGTCTCTGTCTTGCATATGAGGACTGGCGTTCTCTCCAAGAACTCCCATCTTGCAAATGCATTATAACAAGGAAAGCTCTCAATCCAGTGCAATTGTCTCAATTATGAAAACCATTCATATTTGGAATCATAATCTCAATATTTATAATCGCTGCCAATATTCCTATGAATATTTAGCTCATTAGTTCCTGTAAAAGCTGCTGCCATTTTCTTGTGCATATACTAAGGCTGCAAACAAACCAAATGTTTGATAAGTTGCTAATTGCTGGACTCACTAAGAGCCCGTTCTTGTTCATTTCATTAACTAATTCAATAGCTCGAACATTTTTACAAATGCTTGATTATTAAATAAATAAGCTTAAACTTTTTGTTCATTTCATTTATGTTCACAAATAATGTCATTTAAAACTCACAAACAAACTCATTAAAAGGCTCGATGAACAGTTTCATTTAAATTTTATTAACAAGCTAACGAATAAGCTTTGATTTAATGCTTGTGAAATAAGATCAGTTAAAACTTAATTTATATTTGTTAATAAACTCAATTTGAAAATCATTTATACCAAGATAAATTAAATTTTTAATTCAAAATTGATGCAACAACAACAAACTTTTATCCTACTAGTTGGGGTCAGCTACATGAATCCCTTTTCCCCATTGTCATATCGAGTATCAAATTTTTATTTAATTCTACTAGTTTAAGATCATTTTATATAATATGCTCAATTTTTTTTAGATCTACTTTTTCCTTTCTTAAAATAAATCAAATTTAAAACATCTGCTCTTCTAATCAAATCCTCAAATCAAATCCTCAGATGACTGAGATATATTTCATAATACATAAAATAATATAAATGTTTGTTTGTTTAGTTCATTTATTTTGCTAGTTTGCATGTTTATTTTAAGTATTTGTTTAATATCTCATTTATTTAAGGACATTTGTTTTTATTAGTTCAACAAGTAACCCTATAAGCTCAACATAGTTCATTTGATTAGAAAATAAGAAAAATCATATTACTTGGTAGTTCGCTCGATAAAGGTCATTTGGTTATAAATCAAATAGCTCAATAATACAACTTGATAATATACTCGATATTAACTCAATTATCATCATATGAAACAAATATAAACGAAGTTCAAACAGTCAGTATGACAAACAAATTTAATTTGAAGATAAATACAGAAGCTCGATTCTCAGTATGACAAACAAATTTAATTTGAAGATAAATAATGAAGCTCGAGCTCAAACTTTATAAACAAGTTCAAGCTTGAAAACAGTCATGGTCAACTCGGCCCGATTCATTTGCAGACCAAGCATACCTTCTTCCTTCTCTGCACTAAAAAATGATTATGTATGATTGTTAGAAATAATAAAAAGGCGAGAATATTTCACTTGGTTTCTATTATACATAAATCATAAATGAAAAGCAAATTCATTATGAAAGTTTGAGCAAATAGTTGAAGGGGACATTGATCACAGTTGCAAGTCACAAATAAGTGCTCACACTTCGGATTGAGACATAATCGCCAGGGGTAAAACTGATAAACTGATAGTCACGACAAGCAAATGAGCAGTTTAAAGCCAAGAACAGGTAAAATCCAGTTTCAGAGTAGCAAGAAATATAACCTTTTCACTAAATTCTGAAATGGAAGAATGTTTGAAGTACTTTGGCCACTTTTCTCTTTTCAATTTGACCAGTTGATGGGCATTGCATCTCCGTCCAACTGATTGGTACCATAGTAGCTCCTGTAGGACAATAAAACATGTTATTCAACGAAGTTAGTCCATCCTCCCGGCAGAGGTTGTCTAAGTGGTTTCAGAACTTAGTTTAGAGGAATGTGTTCTGAAATGGAAAGAATGCCCTTTCAAGTATTGGCTTGCGAGAACGCAAGAGAGAGCATATTGGAAGCTTGCAAAGTAAATATTATGGCTTTGTTCTCTTTGGGGGAATAAGTTAGAAAGGACATATTGTTTACTTTGCAATTACATATCGACTGTTTGATTCGGGTATGATTCATAATAATTTGATTTTACCAAGAAAATTACAACATATGCACATTTCACTCTAGCAATTTCTGCTTAAACCAAGTGAAAGCTGAAGTGGAACATAAGTGTGATTAGCAGTAGGCTGTGCCTGTTCTTCAAGTTATTGGTTATTCCTTCGAAACAAACAAAAATAAGAAATTGCTTTTCCACTCAATTCCGCCTCAACCTTGCACGTTCAAACTGTTTCAATACAATTCCTTTGTATTTCCATTTCCATTTACTGTTTTTTAGGTGCTTAAATTCAACAAGAGCCTATTTATAACCTCTAATAAGAAAAAAATGGATGTTTGCATGGATGTAAAGCATAACAGCGAGAAGACATAAGAAATGCATTAAGGAATGAGAGAGAATATAGAAGTGAGGGAGGGTGGCAAGCACAAAGGGGATGATCTTTTTGAAGGAGTCGGCCAGAGCAAAAAAAAATAAAGATGAAAAGAAAAGAAATAGTGCTAAACGAAATAAGAAATCTCACTTCACTTAATATATTATTTAAAAGTCCCCTAAACAATAAGAAGTTAGGGTCTTCATAGCTAAACAAGCAATCTCAATTAACTAGCATATCGCCAAGAGTCTCCTAGACTACAAGTAGAGAGGTTCTTTACAGAGATTGATGTTGGATGCTTTAAGAAAATTTGTTTTTTAATATTGGGGTATAAATTTGTAAATATAAACTTTGAGGGGCAAAAATGTTACTTAAATTTTAGACGAAGCTCCTAAAATGATTTTTTTAATAAAATAAAATATTTGTATTTAAGCATTTTACCTACATACATATTAGAGCATATGTATAATAATTGGAATACCATAGAACAATAAATATTCACTGAGTTACTGTGCTACTTAGTTTGTGGTTTCATTTTTATTACAACAAAATCTTCGATAAATTGAAGGGCTCATAAGAGAGAATTTGTATACAAAGAAAGATAAATTCAAATAAGTATCAAAATATATTGAATCTTGTTCAGATTATTATTTTTTAAATAATTATTGTCCCCGCACGTGAGCTCCTCTCACGCAAGCCCAGCCACTTGAATCAGCTGTACTACCGCACACGATAGCTCCTTACTCAGAAATTTGGCAAGGGTTTGAGCCAGCTTATTCTTCCTCACAGTACCCACACTCCGCGTTAACGTCTTCACTTCGTCGCCTGCCCTAAACGCACGTCCTTCTTCATGCCGGAGCCCTTGACGTTCCAATTGGAATCGAATCTCCGGTAAGATACCACACAACTTTTTCTTCTTCTTCTCCCGTTCTCAATCTTGCCTCCGCCTCCCTTCATTCACGTCAATTTATAAGACAAATCACCCCTTTGGTTCCTGACCCTCGTTTCATTATCCTCTTTTTTGACTCCTTCGAGGAGAAGAAACGAGGCATTGCAATCATCCCCACTTACAAAAATTTCATACTCGAAATTTATAAACAACCTGAAAGTCATCTCATTAAGAAGGTTAATGAGAGGTCGACATGAATTATCCATAAATTTCATAATAAAACTAGGGTCATTCATTATAATGAAAATTAATTATTATAAAGTAAAGATCTGATACAAGGCGGCTCAACTATACTGCCCTCATCAACGAAATCAGGATAACAACATAACACATAAAATACGATAAGAGAACACCCTTACATGTAAGTAAATGCCAGGCTCATCAAACCCCATCATCATTAACAGCAATAAGTTCTTCAAGTTCGCTATGAGTAAGAGAATAAAATAGAAGTTGAACATGTTGTCTTGGTTGAGCATGGGTAGGAGCCGAAGCTATAGAATCTATTTTTCTCTGCCTACATGTAGTCTTTCGTGAAGGAGCTGCACCTGATTTTTGATCTTCAATGTTCTTCCAACCTGGCGATGGACAATATCTTACTATATGACCGGGTTAACGACACCAGTAGCATGTGTTAGAGCTCATCAAGCATTCACCCTTAAGTTGTCTTCTATATGACACAAGTGACTATAGTACTTTGAGTCGTACCTCTAATAAATCCACCTGCATTGAACTTAAACTTCTGCCCATCGGATCCCTCTAACTGATCTACATGCTCTCTTTTATCAATACTCTTCCTTTTGTGCGTCTCCTTACACTTTTGAGTAAGCTGATAATTGATCTCCACTGTTTTAACTTGTTTCACTAATATTGAGTATCCATCGATCCTTAAAAGAATCATCGGTTGTCTGATCGAATCCTTTAATCCCAAAAGGAATTTGTAGTACTTTTATTCTGCAGTAACGATCAACTGTGGCGCATAACTTGACAGTGTAGTGAATTCTACTTTGTACTGCATGGCTGTCTTTTCTCCTTATATCAATCTGATAAATTTGTCTCATAAATTTGTCCCGCTTCTAGTGGATATAGGTATAAATCACTTTATGAATAGCTTCACAAACTCCACCCAACTTACCATTACGTTGGGCGTGTCCCTTAAGGCCCGTTTGGCGTCGCGGAACAGCTACGGGACATTTTCAAAACGCCAACATTGGTGTTTGTTTTTTTCCTTCTATGTTGCGTTGCGGAATAAGCAGGTTTCCATTTGTATTACATGTTGCCTGCAAGTTCGACCCCGCATCCCGGGTTCAAAATTTGGTTATCTCTGGCTGCCCTACGGTTCACAATCCTGCCAGCCGGTCCAATCCAGCTTTAATAATCTTAGTTTTTACACATAAGGGTGAGAAACCGAACTTGTCCTGGTTCGACATGTAGAAAACAATGGTGGAATAGTGGGAAAAGGCTTGGAAAAAGGTGGGGAGGGATGCTAAAGATTTGGCCAAGTCTTTTGGAGGAGTTTTGATAGAATTTTGGTAAGGGAGAATGAAGTATTGCTTTGCTTGGAGGCTTTCAGATTATGGATTTAAATAGCCACGAGGGAGCTTTAGGGAAGCTTGGGAGGCTTCGTTTAACTTGGTTTGAGCCTTGGGGAAAGACTATAGGGTTGAGGTAAGTTGGATTAAGGTTTGGTTCAATTTCCTTTGGATTTGAGGTAGTTGTTCATGATGGCTTGTTACTTCGATTTGGCTTACTCCCCTTGGATTTAAGGTACTCGAGTTTGACATTGATGTGGTATTGATTCGCATGGATGGATGGATTTATCATGATTAAACATGGGCATAAACCACCGGTTTTAAGCTTTAGTCAGTGAGGTGTTTGGCTTGGATTTAACTAAACATTGGATTTCGTTAGATTTTAAGGTGGCTTAATGTAGATTCGGTATGAGATGACTTTTGACTTGGGTAGGGTTTCATTGAAATCTGGTGGCTTGGTGGCTTGGCTTCTGACTTGTCATGAGATTGGGTGGCATGGCGGCTTGGAATTTGGCTTGAGATGGTTTGAATTTTGGGCTTGGGTTTATGCTTGGGCTTGGTTTGGTGGTAGGGTGAGGAAGCTTATCAAGTGGGTTTGGTTAGATGGATTTGGAATTTGTTAAAATTAAACATTTAAATGTTTGTTATTTTATCATATTTTGAATTTGACTTTTTACTTTATTAATTAAATTTTAGGTTTGTCATTTTTTAATTTTGGTGAAAATTTGATGACTTTAGTTTGATTTAATTTTGACTTTTGTTAATTTAATTCGCATGATTTTGGTGAATTTTAGATTTTTTATTTGATTTAGTTTTGATTGTTTTTGACTTTGATGAATTTGTTTGTTTGATTTTAATTTTGATTTTAATTTGATTTTAATTTTGTTTTTATGATTTCAAAGAATTTTATTAAATTTGATTTTAGGTTAACTTGATTTTATTTAAATTTGATTTTCTTTGACTTTGATTTGGTGATTTTAATTTGTGATTTTAGTTTTAGTGTGATTGGCTTAGTTTCAACTTTGATTTTGGTTAATTTGGTCTTTAGTGAATTTGGACTTTTTAACATTGTATTAATTATGATTGATTTGATTTTAATTTATGAATAAATTTAATTTTGATTTCAAGTTAATTATTTTGTTGAATTTTGATTTTGATATTATAAATCTGATTTTATTGAATTTGACTTTCAATTGGTGATTTTCATTTTAACTTTTCTTTTATTAAAAGATAAACTTTATCTTAGTTCAACATGAGCCTCATACCCAATGTGTTATTTATGAACAAATAAAAGTAATTAGGAGAGATAAGTGTAAAGTGCTCAATAAGAGAGACCAAATAAGAGACCTAAGTCCCTTAGGTCAAATGGTGGTAGCTTTAGAGATTTCCAAGTCTATAGGAACTCAACAGAAGTTCCAATGATTGGACTTAATCAACTTAACCAAGGGTTAACGATTTGAAGTCAATTTTATGAAACTATAAGGAGTAGAGAAATGTTTGAAGTCCTAGCAAGAAACTGATTCAATCACTGGTCCTCTAAGAAAACCATTAAGGAAGCCTTAAGGCTAGATCCTACGTTCTAGAGAGAGAACAAAATAGAACTTAAAAAAAAATAAGGTCAACAGTGGCAACACTAATCATAGCATGAGTAGAGAAAAGTGGAAAAAATGGAAGGTAATCAAGAAAATGTTTAAAAGAATAGCTGTGTCAATAATTGTTGTAAAATGTCTATTGTGGATGTCCACGTGCCCTTCAAGATTTGGAATATGCCTATCAGAATATTAACCAAGCTCAATAAGGTAGCCCACACACAATAACCAGAGGTAGTTTAGATCAAAATAGATCCAGCTACCAAATAGAATAGAATCCCGGAATAATCAAACCAGCGCATAAAAAAAGGACTTGTACATTATGGAACAACAGTTGATGGTTGAGCTGGGAGTTTAGCAAAGTGAAGGAAAGGAAGAAAGAAGAAAATAGAGAAAAGAATGGTGAAGTGCTGGAAATCGCAGGACTAAACATTGAAAGAGGTTTAAAAGAAACCATCACAGAACTAGGAGGAAGTCATAAAAGAACTAGTAAGAAGAGAGAATAAAAGAGGATATAATCTGAAGATCCATGGAAGTTGTTGCGTTAACAGAAAGGCTACAACAGGACAAAAGGAGTGGATAGAGATTATGAGGTGCCTTGGGCTTGAGCAGGAAGACACGTAATTTAAAGAAGTATGTGTTTTAGTGTTTCTTTTCGCTCAAAACTACAGTAATAGAAACGGAAAGATGTGAGAGACAGAGCAGCAAAATGGTAATGCCAATAGAGTGATATTGACCAGTATGAGGGGAAGAAATGACCAAAAAATCGTAGTGATAAAGAGGAATGTAGGAGATGTAGATCCCTCCTTGCAAAAAAGCAAACTTTCGTTTATAATTCACACTCTATAAAGTGAAAAGCTAAGATTCCGTGATTAGAAAAACAACTCAACATTCTGCAGCATTATTTCCACTGAGCATTTAAACGAAATCACAAACAAAACATGTGATAATATAACAAGGAAAGCAGCTTACCTGCCATACTCTGAGCAGAAACAACTCCCAATTCATTCTTAGCAGTGGAAAGGTAATAAGCCCTTGCATCTCCCAGAGAAAGCTGAGTGGATAATTAAGTTAAACAATTCCCCTTATCCGTTCCATAGTGTACAAGTTTTTGAAAGACCATAAATTGCTAGTAAGTGAAAATTTAAAAAGTTTAATATTCTATCCAGCCAATTTGAGAAGCATCAACCATATACGTATTGTGCGTGTTTGGTAATGTCATGGATGAAAACGGGTTTTTGCACGACAACACAAATGCTATTAAAAAGGTGAAAAACCTCAAATTCAGGAAAGCTGATAGAGTAATGCTGAGACCAAAAAAACTTCTGGAAAAAAAATAATAATTTATGAACTTTAAAGTTAAAAGTTATGAACAAATTAAAGGAAAATTAATGAAACTTTAAGCCTAATATAACATATTTATGTACAATCAATGAATAGAAGTTGAACTTTCAAATTTAGGATACAACTACGGCTTTAACAACGTCGCCAGGTTGAAAAGATTGGTACATATCAACTTTATCAATTTCAGTTGCCCTGACATCTTGCTGCCTGTTAACATCAAAGTACACAACAAATGTCGGGGGTAAAAGGTGAAACTACCAACAGAATGTAAAGCTTGGAGTGACAACTATATCCTAAGATATATGTTAGCTATAACAGTACAAAATTAATAAAGCAATATAAGTAAACAAATTATGCTATTTTTTCAATATGGCATAATGAAAGAAATACATATTTGATGCATATAATGAAGCGTTTTAAATGTTTCTAAATCAACATTGGCTAGTCTCTCACTAAATGATTCTTGATCCCACAACTTTAGCAGTAGCAGGATAGTTTCATTCTTCTAGGATCTCCAGGTCCTATAATTACACCAGCTAATGCTGATCCAAGTTTTCCCATGCGTGTCTAACAGATCAATTTCCTCAACTCGTTTTCAACATTATTCAACCCTCTAGATGTTACATTAAATGAGAATTGCCTCGGCTGCTGAGCATCTCTTCATTCTGCTTCAAGTTTTTTTATATTCAAGCAGTTAACACGGTTGGTGCTGCATCATTTGAGTCTTAGCCACATCACAATCGTTAATTCTACAACAATGATCAAAATGAACCACCTTCCATGGTCTTGATCAGCTGTAGTGATGTCGAGTACATATACCAATGCACAAAAGCAACCAGTTAGCCTTTTTCTAAACCTTATAATTTTAAATGGTTGCAAATTTTCATGTTTAACAGAATCAAGTTGATTATCAATCCATAGGTAGGTGACCCTCAGATATCTGCTTTTATGATAAAAAGATAAAATAAATAAACTGCCTTAAAAAAAGAGAAAGCTATGGCCGACAAAATTTTCTTGAAAAAACTAACATGGCTAAATAGGAACTCAAAAAAAAAAAAAAAAAAAGTGCAACCTGATAATACCGGTAAATTTTTCCTTAACAGCCTTCGATTCAACACACATTATATCAGCTGAAACCATTCTAGCCATTACCCTAGTCACCTGCAAGTAGGAAACATTTGTGTATTATACTTGTATTGAAAACTGTTTTTTTAATAATGTTGATATTCAAACTAGCATAGATGGGGATACACATTTACATTCATTTCAAAATATCTATTATACTTGTATCTTGGAAATCCCTAAGGGTTTATCAATTATAGATTTGGTCAAAACCGAAAACTAAACAAAACTGAATAAGATTGGTTGATTCAATTCGGTTTCAAAAATAGATTTCGATTTTCGGTTTTCAAAACCTCAATATTCAGTTTTTGGATATTGATTTGGCCTTAATTTTCATTTAATGAAACAAACTAAAAAACCAAAAATTCATAATTAAATAGAAAATTCATGTAATTAAATGAAAAATTCATGAAATTGAATCAATATTATGCAGATAACATATGTAGTTTTCTATGCGTTCATAACCGAACTCCAACTAATAACTAAATTTTGGTTGTTCATAACTGAACCGTTTAAACCGAATTAAATTGAGGTTCAATGTACTCGGTTTTATCAAATATTTGATTTGTTCGACTTTTTGGATTTTGGATTTTTGTTACAATTGATTTTGACCAATTTGAAAAGCAATTCATGTAAATTGATCGAATGCTCACCCCTAATTATAGAAAAAAATACATAGACAGACAAGATGGATCTCACTACTGTATTGTGTTCAGACCATCATGTCAAGCCATTTGGTGTCCTAGTCAATGCAAGACAGAAGAGTAGAAAGCAATGTGAAAGAGATGAATTCATAAAAATAGAGAAGTGATACATTGCTATTCATAAAAACAATAGTAACATCAAAAAATTCAAAGATTTTGTCTAGGAAAAGTCACCAAGTATATTAATAGGAGAAAACCACAAAATTCTTCCATTTACATGGCCCTCAAACAACTCTCAAAATATAGTTCATCAAAACCTATTTTCTAGTACAATGCCGCAGTTTAAAACAATTCCATTACAACTACATGAATAAAACAAATAAAAAAAATTTTATGCAACAGGGATGGTTGCCCACATCATAGATCCATGGTTTTTTATTTTAATCATTGTTTGCTTGATTCTTCTGAAAAATTGCTTGAAAATAAAAATATAATTGAATCAAATGATTGAATGAAGCATTCAAACATTCCTTCTTTACATTCGGTGCCATAAGTTAAAAAGTGAGAAAGGATATAGCAAAATTTCCATAATTCCTACTTTCAGATTTTGGCCAAGTTAATAATGAAAGGTAGGTAGTTTTATCTTGCTATCTCTGCCTTCATGATGATTAAATCATCCTTAAGTTCTCCATATTTGATAAGCATGTCCAAAAATAAGATCTCCCTTACATTTGAATGACAATAATGAAAAAACTTTTTATTTTTGGATGATCATAAATGAAAAATTCATTTTTTTTTCCATCGTTAAATAACAATGATAAAGACAATCAATTTTCCCCATAATGATGATGGTAATGGCAATGACAACACTGCACCATCCAATTTATGAAACTTTCCATGAATGCAGAAAGATTTGCAATTCAAACAAAATTCTCTATAGTGTTATCTTTCATTTACTCTCTCTTTAAGAACTAGGTTTAAGGTACCAATGGTTGAATGACATTGCAAAGCAATAAACCAAATTGAGAAAAGCAAGTGAATGCTAAAGTTTTCTTTATTGGAAGACAAAAGCAAAAAGAATGAATTAAAGAAGGTGCTTAGATAGCAAACATAATTAACCTTGAAATCAACATAACAAATTAAAATCATTCATCTCAAGTAACATTCTAAAAGGAGTTATGATCCCACTCATATTTGTCAATGGACAATAGCGAAGCACAAAATTCCTGGTGAAAACATAATGGACAGCATGTGTTATTTTAAATATAACACAAAATAAAGAAAATTATAGATAAAAATATAGCTAAGCATGAAACACTACTAAATTGAAAGAGAAACTATCATAATAATGAAAAAAATTAAAAAGAAGATTTGATTCAAGTGCTCAATGCCTCTAACCGCTATATCTAACAATTTTTTTTAAAATTCCAGACAATGAAAGTAATGACATAAATAAGAAATACACACAGAAGAGTGTGGTCGCACAAGCAATAATGTGATGAGTAAGAGTATCATCCCACAAAGATTGGTTTGCAAATTACTGAAATTAAATCTGCAAACTATTATTCAAATGGTTGGATTGGAGCAATGCAACAAATTAAACCTTAAAGTAAAGTGCAAAAAAAAAAAATACTAAGAATAACTATGGCTACGATCTAGTTAGAAAAAAATAAGGGTAAGCAGCTCTAGAATTTGGATTTCACATGTGTTGATTTGATTAACAGATAATCAAATTAAAGATCAAGTTCATTTTAATAATAATGAGATCCGATCAGAAATGGCCCTACCTTGCTCTTACAACTATAGAATTTTTACATCTCAACCTACCTACCCCTCTGATAGATTCTATGCAAGAAATGTCGTCAATGCTCTTAGGATATTAAAAAGTAGCACACAAGTTTTCCACCCTCTCTAATATACAGTCCATCCACCATGGCATTTTGACACACAATTAGTCTGTTCTCCAACTCTCAATTTCAAACATAACTTCGAACTTATTAACAGGTATCCACACAATTAATAGACCTTTATAAAGCTGAGCAAAACACATTGCATATGAAAGAAGCACAAAACATCAGTTACTCTTCATGGAAAATCAACTGATACAACCAAACATATGATTCATCCATCCCCCAGAAATGGAGACTGATTCATATTTAAGAAAATTGTAAAATGAAACAAATAAAACTTAAACATATTTTCCAACACTTAGGAGCAAAGGAAAGGAAAATGAAAACACAAGGAGAAGGCCTCATGAAGTCCCGCATAATCTTCTTCGTCATCCTTTCTAAGCCAATAAAATTCTCCAATGTAGCCTCCAACGTTAGAAGCCTGGAGAAAGGTGCATTGAGACACCTAAGGAACTTGACAAAAAGTTCCTTAATTTGTTCCCTAGGAAACCCTAAATAGGGCTACTTCGATTGGCTCCAAAAAAGCCAAGAATTAATATGAAATCAAGTGAAAACTAGGTTTAGCGATAGTGTGCGTTAGGCACCATACTATGAGCTAGAGTCTGGCATCTAGGTGCTTGGCTCTCTGTTTGGTGCTACCCAAACTTAGAGTAAAGCGCCAAGGGCCAGAACCAAGCCCCCAGGCACTAGTCCAGCACCCTAATGCGACTTCTAGGGGCGTAAGAGCCAGTTTCCAACTTTAAAGATAGATAACTTGGTTCCCAAGCACAAAGGTGTTTTTACGCTCCATAATGAGTTGAGTTTAACCCTAAAATGATTGCCCCACTAGACGTGAAAATTTAGCATATATTTTTCCACAACTTGGCATTTCTCCTACACACATGCAAGGTTTGAATTTAAATTATTATTGCATAAAAATAATTAAATAGCTTGTAAATATGAATTAATTTGTGAATTTAATGTGGGTTAAATGTGCATATAATCACAATTATCATGAGATATACACCTCACATTATGTGTGACTCACATCAAGGCACCCCTTCCTTGAAGATCAATGAATCAAGCACCTCAAAACATTAATTATTAAGAAAATAAACAAAATATGCAAAATGATATCCTATTTTAATAATTTATCTCTCTCTCGATCTCCTACAAGTGCTAAAATCACCTCCCTCAATCTCATGCTAGCAACTGAGCATTGTCCCTCACATCATCCTTCTCCTTCCTCCTGCCCTCAGTTGTCTCCTTCCTCACCATTGTCAATCATCTCTTTCCTGGTTGCCACTACCATCACCCCCTTGTCAAGCATTCTTCCTTCATAAAAAGCATATTTCATCTTCCTCAACTACATCTCTTCTTGTCAGTAATACAACAAAAACCTTTATCCCACTATGTGAGGTTGGCTACATGAATCCTTTTTCTACATCTATTATTATTCTTGTTAATAATAATAGATATTTTTCCCTAGATAATTATTTTTTAAAATTTTCTTGTCAAGCATTTTTTAATTGAAAATTTTATCTTAAAATTAAAAAAAAAAAAACGGCTAAAAGAAGAAAAGTACAAATATGCATGGTAAAAAAAACAAATTTGAAGAAAGTGAATGTTAAGTCATTGAAGTGGAACTACTATGATAAGGTTATCGAAAGGGGGGTATTGTAAGAATGAAAGAGCATATTTCTAAAGCACAAAGAATGTTGTACCATGCGTCAAGGTCAAGATGCCTAAGGAGGCGAGAAAAAGAGATTCATGCTTAAATGATCAAGGCAATGATGTGGAAGCATTTAGCACAAATGTAATTTGATAAAGTGGTATATGATAAATCATATTATGATATTGGACTTCGTTACAAAAATTCTTTATCTTCTTCGCCACAAATGTCAAGTAAAGATGCAGGAAAGAATGTGGAGGAAGACAAGCATGACAATCTATATAGTAAATCGGATGTTTTTTCAAATTGCAAGAGAGGCTTGCAAAAAATCTTTTAAGATAACATTATTCCATTTGCTGTGAAAACCTCTCCCACTCATATCAACATCATCCAGACTATAGGTTCCAATGATCAAGAGCCAAACCACCATCAATGTATGAGCTTGGAAATTGGAGACTAAAGAAAAACTAAGTAGCATTGACAACAAATCATTAAGAATGTTAGAAAAACTTGAAAAAAATTGGAGTGATTATCAAACCTAATGATTCATGTAATCGACGCCACTTAGTGCAATAAAGGTTTGTTATTGTTATTGTTGTATATTGCCTAATGATTAGTCTGATATAAAGAATAAAAGTTTAAGCACTATTTTTTTAAAGTTTGTTGAAGCACCGAAATAAGTAAAAGATTCAAAGTACATTTTTAGACTTCTTGATGAAATCATATAAGAGATTGAAGAGCATCTAGTGATAAAAGTCAATATTAATAATAATATTTATAGAGCCCCAAGAAATAAAATGATAATAAGAGATACATAGTGTTATACATAAGCAG